GTGGTGGCATAATAAAATTCAGGTTTGTGAGCTTCTTCGTAGTTTTTAGACGTTGTCTGTTTGTTATTTAGCATGAATGCATTTTAACACTTGTTTCTTTAAATTGCAGATAAGAAAAAAAAAAATATAAAAGTACGTGTAGAAAACGAATTAGCCCTGGTATGGAAGAGAAGCTAGATAAGATGTTCATGAATACCACTGCTGCTGGTGATCATGCTTAGGCACCCTCGTCTGGTATACTTCCATATGAAAATAATGATGAATCCAATGAGGATGATGACATTCAACTCAAAAGTAGTGATTCTATCCCACTCAAAAACACTCAAGCTAATGAAGAGTATTTGGGGAAGAAGTAAAAAATCACTCGACAATTTGATACACAAGTTAAGAAAGAGAATAAGAAAAAAAGGAGCTGTTGCAAAGAAAGGGAAAGTGGGAGGTGCTACTAAGTGGTCAGAACAAATTGACCGTATGATTGGTGTAATTGAGAGTAGAAATAGAACTTCGAACATGGTAAAGGACTTACAAAACAGTTGCATTGCTGAAGTGATGAAGATAGTTTCATCTTTGCCTGGTGTATGGCCTGAGACCCATTTGTGGTTATTTGCAACTCGATTATTTCTCAAACCAGAGATGAGAGAAATGTTCTTAATTATAGAAGATCCGCACATCAAGCTTCAATTGCTTAACTATGAACAAGCCGAAAATTAAGTGTCATGTGATGCATTTAGTTTGCGAAGTTTTATATTTCGTGGTAGACAATATAATCTAAAATATCTTAGAACTTGAGTTTATATTTTGATTTGTCATTTGGGATGGTTACTTGGATTTCTTTGTGTTTTACTTGGGATTATAATTGGATGGTTGTTATCTGGATTCCTTATTTAAGAATAATTTTTTTTCATGCATGTATTCCTTCTATTTGCAGGAATAATGATGAGATTTTTTTCTTTTCAAAATTGCATCTCTTTCAAGATACAGACATCTTGCAAGATGAGGAATAGTTCAACCAAACTGAATGCCTTTGTGTTCGTATTATAGAACATTATTATCAAACATATATCCATAGAACACCTTGTTTGGATTCATCTCATACATGATATAAGTGGTTGATGGAAATATTACGAGGAAATGAGAGGCGTTGTCATAGGATGTTCAAAATGGACAAATAGGTATTTATGAGATTGTGCAGTGACCTGCAAAACAAGTATGGATTGAAAGGTTCAAGGAGAACGTGTCCTAGTGAAATGTTAGGAATGTTTTTGTTTATTCTAGGACAAGGTGAAAGAATAAGTCAGCACAAGAACGATTTCAACACTCTAGCAAGACTGTGAGCATATACTTTAGGCAGTTAATTGATACTGTATGCATTATGACTATTGATGTTATCAAACTGTTGGATCTTGAGTTTAATGGTGTCCTTGCAGAGATATGGATGGACTCTAGATGAATGCCCCACTTTAAGGGGGACTCTAGATGAATGCCCCACTTTAAGGTAAAAAAAAAAGATATGATACTTCTTGCTTTGTCTTATGAATTAAATTATATTTATTGAAAATTGTGTTATAATAATTATTTGTAGAATTGTATTGGTGTCACATCCCGGTCCGGGCCCCCACCACATCCTGGACTCGACTCCACCGTAGCACGATATTGTCCGCTTTGGGTCCATACCATACCCTCATGGTTTTGTTTCTGGAAACTCACACGAGAACTTCCCAGTAGATCACCCATCCTCAGTTAATTGATATTGTATGCATTATGACTATTGATGTTATCAAACTGTTGGATCTTGAGTTTAATGGTGTCCTTGTAGAGATATGGATGGACTCTAGATGAATGCCCCACTTTAAGGGGGACTCTAGATGAATGCCCCACCACATCCCGGCCCGGGCCCCCGCCACATCCCCGGCTCGACTCCACCGTAGCACAATATTGTCCGTTTTGGGCCCATACCATACCCTCACAGTTTTGTTTCTGGGAACTCACACGAGAACTTCCCAATGGGTCACCCATCCTGGGATTGTTCTCGCGCGAACTCGCTTAACTTTGGAGTTCTGATGGAATCCGAAGCCAGTGAGTTCCTAAAAAGCCTTGTGCTAGGTAGGGATGAGAATATACATATAAGGCTTACAGGATCCACTCCCCTAAGCAATATGAGATGTTACAATCAACCCCCCTTAGGGGCCCGACGTCCTCGTCGGCACACATCCGGCCAGGGATTGGCTCTGATACCAAATTGTCACATCTTGGCCCGGGCCCCCAAGACATACTGGGCCCGACTCCACCGTAGCACGATATTGTTCGCTTTAGGCCCCTACCACACCCTCACAGTTTTGTTTCTGGGAACTCACACGAGAACTTCCTAGTGGGTCACCCATCTTGGGATTGCTCTCGCACAAACTTGCTTAACTTTGGGGTTCCGATGGAACCCGAAGCCATTGAGTTCCCAAAAAGCCTCGTGTTAGATAGAGATGGCAATATACATATAATGCTTACAGGATCCACTCCCCTGGACGATGTGGGATATTACAATTGGTGCTATTGGTGATGTACAAGTTCAAGCCACAATACGTTCTGGAGATCAAGTACCATATATTGAGAAGAAATGGAGACCAACTCAAAATGTAATGGCTGCATGTAATTTTTATTGGAGAACAATTCAGAAATAAATAAAAATAACAGAAATAATAAAACTTGAAATTCTAATACTTTATTAACTAAAAATACTTGCCATACATAATGAAATTACATAAACAAATACACGAATTAAAATGGTACCAACTTGATTACAACAGGTTGAGGTGCACAAAAGCTATGTCCTTCAAACAGTATTTCCGTCCCACTCTTGTGCTTGTGGTTCTACAACGTCTGCTCGACTAGGATACAACTACCTAATTCTACAACCCGCACTGGATTATAGAATTCTAGTGAATTGCTTTGTGTGTTTACTCTCTAGGAATTTTGTACGGAATAAAAGGAGGAAGAAAAGATGATTCATGATGGAACTGAGGACTCCAGTTATATAGGCTCTTTCATACCTCTTCAAATACCTTTTGGATGTATTTGAAGTTATACAACTCTTTCCAAAGAGTTGTCTATTAACCAAAACGTTTTTAATTAATTTAATTAAAAACTTAATTCGAAATTAAAGCTAATTGATCAGATTAATTTTAACCCCAAGTGAGGCCTAAGGCCCTTGTCTTGATTAATATTAATATTATGGTATAATCATCAAGCCTAATCTACACAATTAGTGACCCAAGCCTCAATCCTCATTTCAAACCAACACCTAATCACTAATAAAGGAGACTAAATTAATATAAGGACCTCAAGTTCCCTCGAGTTCCCTGATGTGGGACTTAAAAGGAGCTCAAAACTCCAACAATTTTGACATGCAATTCATCTTTGCATGTGAGGTTGGGAAGGAATTGTACGTGATACAAGGATATTCTTATATGTTTTATGAAATAGTGCTTTAAAGTTTTCTAAGCCTCCAAATGGTAATGTCTTAAATTTGTGTATATGTCTGAACTTTTGCATTTGATTAGGCACTTTTTATAGTTTCTTTTTATATCATAATAGCATGCTTTGAACATTACAGAAAAATATTATCTTGTGGATGTTGGGTACCCATAGATGAGTGGCTATTTAGGACCCTATAAAGGTGAAAGGTATCATCTTCCTGATGTTCGTAGGGGCAGAGAACCAATAAGATCTAAACAGGTATTTAACCACATATACTCTTCACTTAGGAGTGTCATTGAACGCACTTTTAATGTATGGAAAAAGAGGTGGAACATTTTAAAGGACATGCCTAGTTACACTTTTAAGAAGCAAGTAAAAATACTAGTCGCAACTATGATGCTTCACAATTATATAAGAAGGCATGCCAACTGTGATACTCATTTTGACAACATGAAGATTAACTTGAATGATGGCTCAAACTCGGATGAAGAACAAGAAGAATATCATATTATCGAAGGACCTGGAACACAAGAAATAGAGACATTCAGGAACAACATTGCTGCAAGTTTGATGCATTCATAATTTTTTTTTATGTATGCTTATTTTATGTTATTATTGTTTGAAGGCATTGAAGAAAATTTTAGGGAATTGTTATTAGCACTCCAAAAATCTCATTCTACACTCTTCACAAGTGTATTTTTCTTTATAATTATAGAAAGTTTGGAGTGCCAAATGAGATTATTGGAATGCTAATAACAATTCTCAAATTTTATTTATTTATATTTGTTTTTTTTAAAGTAGGTTTTGATGATGCAACTATAGATGTTAAGATAATATGAAGGAAAAAAGATTAGATATACTTGAGAGTCATCTTTTTAACAAAAAAGTTAATGGAAAAATATTTTCCACATTACGTCTATTTTTGTCATTATGCAGAGTTATAAAACCCTTTTTGTATTAGTATTTACCAAACACTTTTATACTTCTTTTTGTACTCATAACAGTTTTAAAAATACAGTTTACCAAATGCTGAGCTACTTTATTTTATAGTTGATCATTCTTAAAGTACAGTAAAAACATTTTTAAAAATAAGTACTTCAATCTCAAACTAGCCCTTAATTTTTAGATACTGCTTGATTTGTTCAAAATCTTCAAATATGAAAATTAGGACTCCTAAGGGCCAAAGCATCCCCATTTCCATTTGAACATGCAAATTGAGCCTTTTCATAATGGTCGTTACTAATATCGACGTCCTTCTAAGCGCTTATGCAGACATCAACCAATAAGGCTCTTATTCTTGGTAATATTCGTGCAACGGTATATATATATATATTTTAAAAGGAACCAATTGGTTTTACTACGGTAGTCTATTCTTTCGAAGGTTGAGGAAACTTACATAAGCATTTCAACCTCTCTCTTGTTATCATTGTGCGATTTACTAGTGATAAAAATTAAATTCAAGATGTACAGTATAAAATACGAGTGAAATTTATCCCAAACCATTAGAGCAGTCCGTGGTGATCGATGCAGAATTCGATGGAAGCAAGTTGTAACACCACTTATTACCAAAAGCTTTGGGTGGCCGGGTGTCGTGGCTTTTGACCCTATTTGTGTATCCGTCCAAACGCGCCGTTTACCAAATTGCAGGCCTCCAATCGCGTCCAGTCCAATTACAGTCAGACAAAGCTTACCATTTCCAGCTCCCTCAACAGAATTTTATCACTCGTCTCTTCGATTGATAGAATTCCCACTCGGAGGGAACCTCAATTTTCTGCACCGCCGGCACCTTCACTCTCTCTCTCCCTCTCTCTCCCTCTCTCTCCGCCTCCGATTGGGTGTTGGTAATTGGGCAGAATCTTGAACATGTATCACGCCAAGAAGTTTTCAACGGCGAGCTTGGTCCCACACAAGCCCCAGAGCTCCCAGGAGCTTGCGAACGTCGGGGCTGTCAGCGGCGGTTCCTCCGTGAAAAGCCCAACGCCTTCCGGCGGGGGAAGCGGGAAGCAACGGCTCCGCTGGACTTCAGATCTCCACGACCGCTTTGTCGATGCCATTACTCAGCTTGGCGGACCAGACAGTGCGTATTTTCTTTTCAGTACCCGTTTTTTCAATTTATTTACTTTTTCATTATATTTATGTCCTTTGATTCCTTTGCAATCTTGACATGGCCTTCCTTCAAATTTATTTCCTCTAATTTTTACATGATTAATTTAATTGTGCTGTTTGGTGATCCTTTTAATTCTGTACCAGTTGGTTTAGAGGGGGCTTCATTTATTTATAAATTAAAAGATTATGTAGCTCTAATCAAGATGCTCGGCGAACGAAATGAAGAAATTGTTGGAATCATCCACAGAAATCGTTGATCGAATGTTTCCAAATCTTTTCTAATTTTTATGAGTGCACCTATGTGGTTGAGATTGCTTTGGTTTGTTTTTTACAAGAATTTTTATTAATTCGGTCTTTGTTTGTTTTCTTTCTGCCTTCTTTGTAGTTGATTTCTTAAAAAAAAAAAGATAATAGAGAAATTGTTTTGTCAAGTTTAACCTCGAAAATGTATTGAACTTTTAGTATGACCACAAGAATTTGTACTCCTTTTCTATCCGTATCAAGAATTCATGCTCTTTTTTTTATCCAAATCATGTTCAGACTCAGCTACTCGGGGCCTTTTTGATTGCCACTACATTTTTGGTTTTCAGTTATTGTCTTATTAGTTAAAGATAGAGAAGGGCGGGGGGACTGGATGGAAATATAGGGGAAGAGGGAGCAGAGGGGGATGAGGAGGGACGGAGGAAGGATAAATGTTAATGGAATGTTACACATGCCACTCGGAAACAACTCCTCTAAGGTATTAGTAACCATTTGGGTAATGACTTTTGTCGTCATACTGTTTCATTGTTGGTCTCCTTTGATGACAATGGTTTTTGTCTGTCTCTAAAAAACACTTACGATGATCTGGTGCAAGGTTGAAGGAATCCCTTGCACTGGATGCACCCAATCTTTTCCCCACTCTAGTTCTATGCGGAAAAAGAGTGGCCAGTGTGAACTCCACTTTTGTCTTATGGGCGGAAATAACCAGTACAGTGATCATCCATGGGACTCCAGTGATTACTTCCTTCTAGCTGGATCTGAGTAAGATGTTATTCCAACGATGTGATGTGTGCACTCTTGGATTTGTCAGTTTAACACCATGAGTGTTATTACCCATTGTCATAGTATAAGAGCTGGATACATTCTACACCTTTCTGACTGAGAGAGATTATGTTTTGTTTTACTATGACAAAGTGCAGGGCTGTTCACCCTACAGATTCTTTTAATGATTTCTTTTCTAGTCTGCTCATCTCTAAGCTTACATTTCCTCACTTGGGTCGGGCTTCTCATATAATCATGGTTATAATCTGGGACGGAGTTGCACCATTGATGGAGCAATCTGCTTAGGGAACTTCGTTTGTTCGACCAGTTATGAATGATTGGCCACTTGTCTAGGGAGCATTGTCATTTTTTTTTATTTTTTATCATGGCCTCCACTTGCCCCCTCAATGTCCTGCACTTGTTAGTTGTCTGATAGATATTCTTATGAAAGGAACAATACTTACCTGTATCTTGGTGCTCTAGAGGCTCCCCTCATAGTCGGGGTTCTTGAAAATACTACCGAACTTTTAGTCATCCAAGACACATGATCCAGAGGTTCTCAGTAAAGGTCTGTTTCAGCCACTTATCTTTCTTCTGTCTTGTTTGGGCCCAAGGAGGATTCTGCAACCACTTCCCCATTGATCTTACTTATTCTTTGGCAGTTCCTCTTTAAGTTTAGCACAACCATCTGCTCTTGTGAGCACTTTGGGATGCCTTCGAGATTAGTACAGGAAAGAAGAAAAATCCACTCTTGAGCAGTGACTCCTGCTACAAGTTCCTGTTGCACTTTCCATTGGACTGTTGCATGGGAGACAGTGATGCAAAGTTCCAACTAACTGCACTGTCAATCTCATTGGCTGTTTCCTAGTATTTATAATGATTCTTACAGAAGTTGACTCTTTGTTCACTAATTTTGTGAAGTTTTATTTTTAATGAATTATGTTTCTTATAAAGTAAAAGGACATATTCACATTGTTCATTCTTTGTGAATATCATAACTGAATCTTTTTACTTGTCTCTAGCTCTAGAAACCCTAGGTTAGATTAAAGTCAGTGTTTAGGGAGTGGTATTAATTTAGGTTTTGATAGCATATTTTATTTTTCAATATGTGGTTGTTAGAGCTTTTGTTAATTTCTAGAACGTTTGTAGTGAATATCTTTTCCACTATGATATACTTCTTGTAAAAAGAAAATAAAAATGTAAAAACACTAAAAGCTATACTTTAAACGCATGTTTGTAACATGTCCACTTTTTTTTTTTATTTAATTCCCAAAGGAAATAGTAATTTTTTTTGTTTTCATTTAAAAAAAAGCTCAAACATAAACTCTCATCTGTATATTGTTGTTCTTCTATTAGATGAAGGAAACACAGAAAACTTTTTTGGTGACTATTTTTAGTAACTGTTTTTTCCGTGAAAGAAGCAGATCTGGAGATATCCATTTTTGTAAACTCTAGTAAAGTCTCCTAGTCTGGATCAGTGGTGCTCTGACTTCTATTGCGTTGACAGTGCTTTTGGTTGAAGTATAAGGCCATAGTCTTCTACTGAATTAATTTCTGTATCTTCTGGCCTTCCGTTGATGCCAAGTTTTGAAATTCTCTGGTGGAAAATTTGCTCAGGCATGGATTGAAGAAGAGCCAAGGAAGATGTGTTCAACGATTAGTTCCCTTGTTTCTTCCCTTCACATGTAATCTTCTATTATATTCTATGGATAACCATCTACACTACTTGTATAGGTGGGCAATATCAACTAATAACCATCTGATCAGTCCACCTGCAAATTGAAATTATCATGCTGTACTGTAAAGGATATTCATTTGGATAGTTAATTGTATAACCAACCCTGTCAAGGACTTCTAGGACTAGTGAGGCTTTTAACTTTTAACTGGGATGAGGGTTTGTTTGCTTTCGGTTAATTTATTTAAAGGAATTATTGGTATGTTGAATATTTTCCTAGACTAGAGTGTAATGATTCTGTGTTTTCTTCAAAAAGTCAATGTTCGATTCCTTATCCACGATTTGCACATTTCTTTTGAGTTAATAAATCGAAAACAATTGAAAAAAGAATTTCTCTTCTAGCTTTTTTTCCCCTATTTTCTTGGTAGGGTGGTTTATAAAATTCATCTACTTTCTCTATGTTTCATTAAATAATTGACTGCTTGGTCTTAACTTTTGGTTTTTGATTGGTGGGCAATATCAACTAATAACCATCTGATGAGTCCACCTGCAAATTGAAATTATCATGCTGTACTGTAAAGGATATTCATTTGGATAGTTAATTGTATAACCAACCCTGTCAAGGACTTCTAGGACTAGTGAGGCTTTTAACTTTTAACTGGGATGAGGGTTTGTTTGCTTTCGGTTAATTTATTTAAAGGAATTATTGGTATGTTGAATATTTTCCTAGACTAGAGTGTAATGATTCTGTGTTTTCTTCAAAAAGTCAATGTTCGATTCCTTATCCACGATTTGCACATTTCTTTTGAGTTAATAAATCGAAAACAATTGAAAAAAGAATTTCTCTTCTAGCTTTTTTTCCCCTATTTTCTTGGTAGGGTGGTTTATAAAATTCATCTACTTTCTCTATGTTTCATTAAATAATTGACTGCTTGGTCTTAACTTTTGGTTTTTGATTGGTGGGCAATATCAACTAATAACCATCTGATGAGTCCACCTGCAAATTGAAATTATCATGCTGTACTGTAAAGGATATTCATTTGGATAGTTAATTGTATAACCAACCCTGTCAAGGACTTCTAGGACTAGTGAGGCTTTTAACTTTTAACTGGGATGAGGGTTTGTTTGCTTTCGGTTAATTTATTTAAAGGAATTATTGGTATGTTGAATATTTTCCTAGACTAGAGTGTAATGATTCTGTGTTTTCTTCAAAAAGTCAATGTTCGATTCCTTATCCACGATTTGCACATTTCTTTTGAGTTAATAAATCGAAAACAATTGAAAAAAGAATTTCTCTTCTAGCTTTTTTTCCCCTATTTTCTTGGTAGGGTGGTTTATAAAATTCATCTACGTTCTCTATGTTTCATTAAATAATTGACTGCTTGGTCTTAACTTTTGGTTTTTGATTGGTGGGCAATATCAACTAATAACCATCTGATGAGTCCACCTGCAAATTGAAATTATCATGCTGTACTGTAAAGGATATTCATTTGGATAGTTAATTGTATAACCAACCCTGTCAAGGACTTCTAGGACTAGTGAGGCTTTTAACTTTTAACTGGGATGAGGGTTTGTTTGCTTTCGGTTAATTTATTTAAAGGAATTATTGGTATGTTGAATATTTTCCTAGACTAGAGTGTAATGATTCTGTGTTTTCTTCAAAAAGTCAATGTTCGATTCCTTATCCACGATTTGCACATTTCTTTTGAGTTAATAAATCAAAAACAATTGAAAAAAGAATTTCTCTTCTAGCTTTTTTTCCCCTATTTTCTTGGTAGGGTGGTTTATAAAATTCATCTACTTTCTCTATGTTTCATTAAATAATTGACTGCTTGGTCTTAACTTTTGGTTTTTGATTCATTTATGCTTAAATTATTTATTTTTGTTGAAGTGGATGTATTTTAGTTTATATGTGATAGCTAGTGGTGCTTTGCAAACCCAGGAAGAAACTTAGGACCGGATTGAATTGTCCAATCCTTTATTTGTGGCATGTAGTCCAATGGACAAATCAGTCCCACAGCACAGGGATTTGATGAATTTTTTTTTTCCATATCTGGTCGCACCCAAACTAGTGTTTCTAATCACATTCATTAGCTAATTAATATTTCACAAATGCTTGTTTTTTGCAATTTTACATAGGGGCAACACCTAAAGGTGTTCTGAGAGTGATGGGTGTTCCAGGACTAACTATTTATCATGTGAAGAGTCATTTACAGGTGCGGGTCACCTTGCTATACTATCTTACGTGTTCAGGGACATTTAATGCTCTTATTTTTAACCACGCAATTATTCTTTTGTATAGAAATACCGACTTGCAAAGTACCTGCCAGAGTCTCCAGCTGATGGTAAAGGCGTCTCCCTCCTATATATGTTATTTTAGCAATAGAAAACTTGTTTTTACCTTATAAAAATATGAGTTAATTTGAATTTGGAGTACTGTTTCTGACTTATAGGTTCTAAGGATGAGAAGAAGGGTTCTGGAGACAGCCTATCTTGCTCAGATTCTTCTCCGTGGGTACCTTTTCCTTTACCTTTTATTGGTTAAACCTCTGTACGAGGACCACATTTTGTCTCTTAAGCTTTCATGACCAATATCATTATCCCTCTCCACATCTGACGTTCCGAAAAAAACATTCAATTGTTCAGTGGAGTGCAAATTAATGAGGCATTGAGGATGCAAATGGAAGTTCAGAAGCGTCTTCATGAACAGCTTGAGGTAACGTCTCCTTCTCTCACTTCACCTTAAATTGCTGGAAGAGAGATGTAGTCTGCCCCGCAATATCTTTGTTGAAGGAATGCTCATAGAAAGAAAATTATTTCTGACAGACGCAAAAAAAGAATTACTCGAGCGCTAAAAGGAAAGTTTTTAAATTTATGCTGAAAATTATTTTGCAGAAATTGAAAATAGTTAATCCAGCAATTACATAGCCTAGAGGTCAAGGTTTTTGTATGGCATTTTTCTTCTCCGGGGCCTGAGTTTGGCTTTGGCTTTGGGAATATGGATTGAGTAATAATTGTTTTTCAATAAAAATAATGTTGTAGAGATGGGAAAATCGGTGGGTGGAAGTTCTGCAAATGCCCATCTTTTTTCTGTGTTCTTCAATTTTTGTTCTTGGATACCGCCATTGTGTTGCTTGTTCATTTTCACAGTAGAGCATGATTCAGGAACTGTTTCCTGATCTCCTATCCTCTCAGAATCAAGTGCAGGCACTTAATATGATGAAAACTTGTAATGAGCGGTTCATGTATCCGATGGTTATTGTCATTTTGTTCTGGTCAGTGTCTACGCATTTGTGGCTATACAAAGAATTCACTAATGTCTGAAAACCAATTCAGGTTCAAAGGCAGTTGCAAATGAGAATAGAAGCTCAGGGTAAATACTTGCAGAAGATCATCGAGGAGCAGCAAAAGTTTGGTGGTTCACTCAAAGCGTCAGAAGCGTTACCATCAGCCGAGGAAAAGCAGAAGCCAGCTCAGTTGGAGACAATGGGCGATGCATTGGCCGCACCCTCATCTCCCCGAAAGAAACAAAGGGTGGATGAAGGGTTGCCAGACGGTTGCACCACATCTAATCTGCCTCTAAAAGCTGACCAGAAGAACGAATTTGTGGGTCAGTGGGATCGAGACATGTATGGAAATGACGGTGGATATGGATTTGGCTTGCAAACAGAGTTTAAAGAAAGAGATGGCAGTGCTGCACAGAAAGCACCTATGGAGTTAGATCCCTTGTGTGGTTCAAAACAATAGGAAGGAATCACCATTGTTGGTAATCTTTGATGAAGCAGTCTTTGTGCAATTAATTAGAAACCATGTTATCTATACCACGTAAATATACATGCGATCGACTTGTAATTATACAATGTATGAATTTTCCTTAGTGTACTAGTAGCATGTAAACTCCAACTCCCCAGAAAATATGTTTGTTAGTTGAAGTACACTCATCGACGTTGTTCCAACTGTCATGGTTTTCTGCCTGAAGCGAGTGATTTTTATGATGTTCTGCAAATATTCACGAAGACATCGTTGCATTCAACTTTGACGTATGCGCGTGCTACTATTGATAGAAATCTGTCCGAAAGTTGAGTCTCTCTACCCGTCGGTTGATGAGGATCGGAACAACGCTGATAGCAGTTACGGTGATCGGAACAGCTTTCATATCGGACTGGCAAGCAGATTGTCATAATTACTGCGGGGTGGTGCAATTTAGCCCTGATCTACTCGATGGCGGTTGCGATGGATGCTAGGTTTTGCAGATCTATGTGATCTTAAAGGGTTGCATTGCTCGGATTTGTAGAGCAGTTCGAGATGAGCCCAAATAAGGCGCAACAACTTAGTTCAACTCGTTCTAAATCGAAACAAGGTGCAGCAACTCAATCTGAGATTGTTGCCGGAGTTTGTAGTTTTAGGTGCGGGTTAATAATCCAAATTCCAAATGCCCCTTGTTAAGGAAAAAACCAAAAAGGGTATGTTTTTTTACTTGGTGTCCACTCTCAATTGGCTACAAACAAACATAGACAGTGCCCAAAGGGTATCATTTGACATGTTCTCAACCAAGCTAGATTGATTGCTAGTTATTATCTTATCTTGTAGGATTTATTATTATTCAAACCAATAAAAATAACAGAAAAACAAATACAAAACAACTTTAGATTGCCTGCTAAATTTAGTCTCTCTCTTCAATTCATTGCGTACATGGTCCAAACCTTACCTTCTCTCTACAGTGTAGATTAAAGTAGTGGTATTGCATATTTTATTATTATCGAAACCAATAAAAATGAATTAAAAAAAAAAAAAAAACAAATGCAGAACAAGTGTAGGTTGCATGTTGGATTGAGTCGTTCTCTTCAATTTACTACGTTCATGGTACAAACCCTACTCTCTCTCTAGTATACCTTAGAGTAGTAATATAACATTACTAGCATTAAAAAAAAAAAAAAAAAAAAAAAAAAAAAAAAAACCAAGAAGAAGAGCTACTTACACAAAAACAAAAAGAATGAATTATTATGGCATCCAGCAAAAACACACATGCACCCACAACAAGAAGACAAAAAAAAGAAAGACATTATTCTCGAATTTTACAAAGGAAAAGTGAATAACGTGAAGAAAAGAATACAGACGAGAGAGATGCTGTCTGGCTCTAGGAACTTCGGATTGGAGGAGTGGATCCATATAGATGGCGTGCGTTATCTGTATGCATGCAACGCATGTAATATCAGGCTACTGACGGTGAACCTGTTTATTGTAAATCCTTCTAGAATAGCGGTTGAAAAGGAAAAGACAACCGATCGAGCTGCTGCAACTCCATGCTGTGCCTTCTTATTGTCTAGCTAACGCTGCGGACCTACTTCCCACATGCACCGTAGCTCTGGAGTTGTTTGAACACACTGATAGACTTGTGGGTCCCACTCCTACACCCCTATGTCGACTCTGACAGTAGTCATGATCAACAGGAGCAGCAGGCATGGCCATTAGTCTCACTGGGTTGGGCCCCACACTGACGGCCTTCTCCCGCCGACAGCTCAACAACCCCATATTATTGTTATTACTTCCCAGCGAAGGCGGCCGTCGTTTGCTGCTCGTCATTACCTTAGTTCCCAAGTTAGCATCATCATGGTGATCATGGTGGTCGTGATCGTATTGGTCGGATCGATCACAGCCCTCTGCCGTAGTGACGCTCCAGTCGATGCTGGCCTCACTTGGTTCGTAACAGTATTGATCGGTCGATAACGATGCCATAGGCGGGTCATGTTGACGACGATCTAAGCTTGTTCGACGGGAATTGTTATTAGCACTCATACGTCGAGTATCAGTGAAGCTAACTGCATCCTCAACCAATGAAAAAGAATCCGGGCGAGTGCGGTAGTAATTTTCAAACATGGATGACGATGGTGGAGGGTAGGTGGGCATATCGGCATTAGTTGCTTGCAGCGTTTGAGTAGTACTGGTTGAGAAGCTTTCGATTTCGAACAAGTCAGAGCTTGCATCGCTTCCCACATCCTCATCTTTATTATTAACATCACCAATTAGTCGGCCGCATTGAACATGATCAGTAGTACTGTTTGATGGGTTCGGGATTGAAGCTGTTGCCGATGGCAAGGAAGTTCCCCCGTCCCCATTGAATTTTAATATCGGAAAGCTAAATCCGCCACCAGCAGCAGCAGTACTAATACAGCTGGTCGTAGTAGCGGTAGAGTTTGCGGCTGGTTGCACATTGATGGTTGTATTGTTGACTTGGCGTTCCCAATTCCGACGACGTTCATCACCCCAGAGCACATGGCGATTGTCGTCACGCGGCCTTGCAATCGAAGAGTGGTTCAGATTGGCAGCTGTAACAACACTAGTAGTTGGAGCAGCTAGTGGTATCTCATCCTTGGTGAGAATTAATTGGGCCGGCATGTTATAAATATCTCCGCCTCCAACTCCGACTATTGATGATGATGATGATGACATGCTTGACTTCTTTTCCTGAGCAACAACTTGAACTGATTTCTTGCCCGAGCAGGGGCATCTCGCTGACCTCCTCGGAAAAGCAGTAAGCCATCTTGGACTCAACGACATTGTCTTGGACCATCCTCTTAATTTCTTCTTATTAGTAATCTGATGGTCATCATGATGAGGATGAGGAGGATGATTTGTACTAGTCCGACTGTGCAAAGGCGCCATGAATGCGACATTACTATTGGTGGCGGTGGTAGCACAGAGAGGTTTGGTTAGGAGGCCAGTCTGGCTGTTCCAACTGGCTTCGGAGGAAGCCGTTGGGGTGGCACTGGAAGAAACGACATGGAAAGAACGAGCTCGGAGATGCAGAGGGTAGTTAATAGCAGCATCATCAACTGAAGATACTGAGGGAGAGCCAGCAGCCCAAGAGAATCTCGAAACTCCAGACAGCCCATCAGAAACCTGCACCTACCAATATTCCGTACATCCATCGTCACTCAATTATCACATTGATTCCACAAGCATGTGTTATTAATTAAGATAGTGCCATTACTTCTCCTTCTTATACAGGCAATAGAAGGAATGGGAATCAAACCTATGACTTTGAGTGCAGAGGTAAATGCTCTTAACTTGTATTGGCGACCTACCTTATGGTTTTGGCCGTCAATGTGGTTGTTGATGCTTAGTTGGTTGAAGTATTTGTGGGCGTCAAAAATGCTGATTTCTTGATCAGCAGTAACACTGATACTAGTAGTACTCGAATACCGATCCACGTCTACATGAAGCTGCTGCTGCTGCTTAATGGTGGTGTTGTTGTAGTAGTATGGCGGTTGTCGATCAACATTTGCGGTTGCAGTTGCAGCGTGATCTGTATCTTTGTCTCTGAGCATGATGATGGTGCTGCTGCTGCTGCTTCCTGATACTGATCTAACACCTCCTCTCGTTACTTTCCATCTCTCCATTATTTTCTTTCCTCTTTTTCTATTTAATTTCCTCAGGAATATTATTGTCTCTCTACTTCCGTACTTGCTATATAATTATATATATATATATGTGTGTGTGTGTGTGTTTGTGTATGTATGTACATATAGTCTGGACTGAAGGCCCCTCACAGTTGAGTACAAAAATGTCCAGTCGATCACTCATGTCACAATATCATCAACTCAATCATGAAGCTCTCTTCAAAAACGTCATTTTTCAGTTTTTACCCAAATACTTGCTGTTTGTATTTGAATTTCTTTCTATTAAGGATTAAACCTGTTTAATTTTACTTAAATTCGTCAGTTATTTTGTTTCCTCGTCATTGTTTGGTGTGATTAATGACTTTAATACTTTTCAAAAATTTTCAAGCATTCTAAAGTTTGGAGTTGCATATGATTTTGAAACAAATTAATTGACAACTTTTGTCATTAATAAACTTGATACAGAATTCGACTTCCAAACGTGTCCTTCGTCTGCTGATAATAACAAGGGGATTGAGAATGGAAACAATCGTTTTAACAAAAAACCGTCCTTTTTTTTTTTTACAGACTATAGATAATCTAGATTAAATTCATCTTAAACTATAGGGAGAGGGAGGGTTAGAACTCTGGACATAGTGAATTAAAGGAAGTTCTTATCCATCGGGATAATCCGCCACTCATATTTAATGAACAACCATTAGACGTAAATTAATGCCAGAGCTAACCAGGAGTGTGAAAACATTTGCAAAAAGTATGTCTCCAAATCCTAACCCATACAGGGTACATAAAATCGTTAGTATTTTTTTTGGGTTTTTTTTCTTTTCTTTTTCTTGAGCAAAAGATATTGTAGGAGAGAGGGTGGACTTAGGCTCAAAATGGGCTAGCAATAATGTGGTTCAAATTAGCCTTTGGTGAGAATCGAACCAAGGACATTTTACTTACAAGTGAAGAGGAATACCATTAGATCGTAGTACTAAGTGGCATTTTTTTGAGGCTTAATCCGGTATGTAATATTTCTCGGATAAATTTTAGGCAGGACAACTGTGTGTATTTCTATTTTTCTTGGCATGCATGTTCTTAAGAAGATACCAAATGCAACTTATGTAAGAAACCAGCTTATTTTCTTCCAGTTCAATAGTTTTATTAAGAGAGAAGGTCTTTCAACAGGTTCCAGATCTCCAGTACCATAAGAAACTACTAGTTACCCATGTCAGTATAATCTTCACAAACACAGAATCCTCTCATTAGCAATCTAAACACACTACGCAGTAGGCATTAGCCCGGGGGCCAGTTCATTTGCCGTCCTCCAAGAAGATGGATGTGAAGGTGATAAACCAATTGACCTGCAGGAAGACATCGCTCTATATTATGTTTATAAAGATACATCAAGTAAAGCACCAACAGTTAGAAGGTATAGTACTTAATGGTATGTCATCAATCCCAAGTATATAGAGTAAGAAAGAACACGCACATCCGTTTGGCCCATCGTTAATCACAATCCTGAAGCCGTCATCAAGACCCTCCTGCGTGGCAATCAGCTTGGCAGCGTACAGAAGCTGACCAAGAATCTCATTGTGTCTCTCCTCTGCCTGGAAAACAAAAAAGAACCAATAAAACATTAAATTCCACCAATAAGTCGATTATCAACCGACAAATTACAAGGCTAAAGGAGCTTACGTTCATACAAAAATTACTTCTCCTTGTAAAAGGGAACTCCGAAAAGAAACGTTGATAGATGGCCACAAAACATCCCATTTCACACAACATTTCAGGTAAGCTTATGTTTTCAGTAAATTTAAACCTTGCTAATGGTGTTTCCCGCTCGTAAATAACTTTATACAGATAAAGCATACACTGACTGGAGAGGGAGTGATGCTGCAAGCAGCTTACTGCAGTAAAAGTTTATATCATATTCTATCGTTTTCCCTTTTCGTTTGAGGAACATATTACTGCTAAAATCATTACAAGATATTATTTTATAAAAACAATCACTCACATACAAACACCATAATATTGCAAGAACTATATGAAGAGTGAGGGGGGCATAGTTCAAACTATTCTACAAGTACAATGCACCACATGATTAAGTGTGAGGCAGCTTACACGATGTTTTTTTATCATTTGCTTCGGAGCCTTACATTCACTGTCTTTGAATCTTTTTATATCACCGGATCAATATCTTTAAGTGTATCAACAACTCGTATAGAAAGGCCTACGTCGAGCGCTGACAACTGCACAGTGAAAGAATTTACCCCTCATAGTAGAGGTCTAGCTATGTCCTTGGGATAAACTCCAGCAAGATCATAAGAAAAGAATATTAAACCTATCACAATTGTCATCCAATCATAATTTTTGGTCAAATTCTTTATGCATGAATCAAGAAAGATCTGTTATCGTTCACAGAAATCCCATTTTCAAGGACCAGTGCTTAAAGACACAATAAGAATAGAAATACCTAGGTTGGTTCCCTATGTTTGGGCAGGTAGCCCACAGGAAGCCGTATGTATGTCATGCTTTTGCTGTAGACTATAAATGAGTAAAAGTCATAGCTATGGTTTATCTTGAATATTGGAGGGCAATGCATGGTGAAAGAAATCAAAGTTTATGTGATTTCCCACTCATAGTGATATGAAATAGCTTGTATTAATGTATTTTTGTATATCATAGCAGCTGTACATAGGTAGTGATTTATACAAGGATGTGAATCTATTCTAGGTAAGAAAAAAGCTAATTACAATCAATCACTACAATTACTCCAATCTCTAATTGTGTCCTACAATCACTCCAAGCCATATATGTTAGTTGACTATTTTATTTCCTTTAACACTCCCCCTCAAGTTGGAGTGTGGATATCAATAACACCCAACTTGCCAAGATGCGAATGGAAGATAGGTGCTCTCAGTGGCTTTGTAAACATGTCTGCTATTTGACGTCCCGTCTGCACATGAGAGGTCTTGATCTCTCCCCTCTGAATCCTTTCACGAACAGTATGACAATCCAGCTCTATGTGTTTGGTTCGTTCATGATACACAGGGTTCGCTGCAATATATAGAGCATCTTGATTGTCACAAAACAACCTTGTTGGCTCAGGATGGTTTACACGCAAATTGTTCAACAAATTCCTCAGCCAAGTAAGCTCACAAGTGGTTGCAGCCATGGATCGATACTCGGCTTCTGCTGAAGATCTTGCCACCGTGACCTGCTTTTTACTTTTCCACGATACAAGTGATTTACCGAGGAAGATACAAAAACCTGTCACTGATCGACGTGTGATCGGACATCTAGCCTAATCCGCATCACAGTAGCCAATCAAATTAAGTTGATTCTCCGTAGGAAATAGTAACCCTTGTCCTGGTGCTTCTTTCAGATATTGGAGAAGACGATGTGCTGCCTTAAGGTGATGGAGTGTTGGTTCTTGCATGAACTGACTGAGATTATTCACTGCATACGTAATATCTGGCCTTGTAATGGTAAGATATATTAATTTTCCAACCAAACGTCGATATCGAGTCGGGTCCTTGAGGGCATCACCACTTGTTGTCGTCAACACTAAATCTGGTTCCATAGGTACCTTGGCAGGTCTTACGCCAAGCAAGCCAGCTTCCTCCAATATGTCCAGGGTATACTTTCGTTGGCAAATGGAGATCCCAGCTTTGGACCGTGCAACTTCGACACCAAGAAAATATTTTAATGGTCCGAGGTCTTTAATTCGAAAACATCCACTAAGAAATTGCTTGAGTTGACTAATGGCTTCCTCATCATTTCCTGCAATAATCATGTCATCGACGTAGAGCAACACTACAGTAATAGAGTGTCCACAAACCTTAGTGAATAATGCGTAGTCCGCATGAGACTGTTGAAAGCCAATTTCTTGAATGTTTGATGAAAAACGTTGGAACCAGCCGCGAGATGCCTGCTTGAGTCCGTATAATGACTTGTGAAGTCGACAAACCATAGTCTCCCCCTGTCGACGATAACCAGGAGGTGGTAGCATATAGACTTCTTCATGCAGTGCACCATGAAGGAAAGCGTTTTGGACATCCATTTGGTGAAGAGACCAGCTGCGAACAGCAGCAATGGTCAAGAGACAGCGATCAGTAATGAGCTTAGCAACGGGGGCGAACGTCTCTTTGTAATCAATACCTTCGTGCTACGTGAACCCTTTGGCGACAAGGCGAGCCTTGTAGCGTTCGATGGTACCGTCGGAATGGTACTTGATTTTGAAGACCCATTTACATCCAATGGGGCGTTGGTGAGGAGGTAAAGGAACCAAAGTCCAGGTGTGATTTGCTTCAAGGGCGCCAAGCTCAGAATTCATAGCGGCAAGCCAGTGAGGGTCATGGCGTGCCTGCTCATAAGAGGCTGGTTCAACTAAGTGAGAAACATTGTGAACAAAGGAGCGATGAGCAGGAGAGAGACGAGCATAAGAAACATACCGGTGAAGAGGATAGCGTGTGCTGGACATGGTGGAAGAGATGGCGCTGGGCTGAAGCAAAGCAGCATGATGGGTCTGATAGTCACGAAGGTGGACAGGTGGTTGTTTAATGCGTTCGGAGCGACGAAGGGGAAGAAGAGGCAGCGAAGAAGTCGATGGCGCAGGAGTTGGCGAGGTAGTGGTGTCTGGGGGTGGAGGAGGGATGTCAGGAAGTGAGGGAGTGGGTGAGGAAGGTAGATCAATAGTGGGAAGGAGGTCTGAAGGTGCATGAGTGGGGTCGTCATGGGGAACAGGTAAGACTGGGGAATTGTGGTCAGGTTCTGGTGGTGAGTTAGCAAGAGGGAAAAGGTGTTCATGGAAGATGACATCGCGGGAGGTGAAAATGCGTTTGGTGTCAAGGTCATAAACACGATAGCCCTTCTGACCAAGGGGATATCCCAGGAAAATGCAGTGACGAGCACGAGCATCAAATTTGTGTGAGGGAGTAAGGTTGGTAGCATAGCATAAACACCCAAAAACCCGAAGATGAGAGTAGACAGGTAGTGTCCCATGCAAGAGTTCATAGAGAGATTGATGGGAAAGCAGGGGTGTTGGAAGGCGATTGATAAGGTAACAGGCAGTTTGTACACTCTCCCCCCCCAGAACTTTAAGGGTAGGTTAGCTTGAAAACGTAAGGCACGGGCAACATTCAAAAGGTGATAGTGTTTGCGTTCAACTACCCCGTTCTGTTGAGGGGTGTGGGCACAAGTGTGTTGAAAAAGGGTTCCATGAGTGTCTAAGAATGATCGAAGAGATATGAATTCCCCCCCATTGTCTGCACGAAGGGTTTTAATGTCACGATTAAACTGGGTTTTGACCCAAGAAAAGAATGAGTGTATTATGGTTTGTGTGTTGGATTTAAATCGCATGAGATGAACCCATGTGAAACGAGTAAAGTCGTCTACAATGGTGAGGAAGTAACGTGCCCCAGAGGGTGTATGGATTTGGTGCGGCCCCCAAATATCACAGTGGATCAAATCAAAAGGTGCAACTGATTTTATTGAACTGGAAACAAAAGATGAACGAGTTTATTTGGCTAAAGGACAAACATCACAAACATGTGTAGGATCAAAAATAATTTCTGGAATGGTCTGGGATAAAGATTGAAGAGGAGCCGAGGATGGGTGCCCAAGATGTTGGTGCCACAGTGTCGAGGTATGGTTGACATGGTTAGCGAGATGAGGGTTCTGTGTTGGAATGAGGTAGTAGAGTCCATTAAACTGCTTGCCCAGGCCAATCATCTTCTTCGTATCCATGTCCTGCACAACACAAAAACCGGGGTAGAAAATCACAACACACTTCAATGCCCAAGTTAACTTACTCACAGACAATAGGTTCACACGAAATTGTGGTACATGCAAAACTCCATCAAGGGTTATCTTGGGTGACAGTGTAATAGACCCAATGGATTCAATCGCAGCCTGTCCGCCATTTGGTAACCCAACAAAATCATGTTGGGTTCTAGTGTGATTATGGCTGGGTGATAAGTGAGAAATATGATCTGTGGCCCCACTTTCCACGATCCAATACAATGTTGAATGCGGAGAATGTTGTGTAAAATTGCAGTTGGGTGTATAGATAACTGTTGCATGCACAAGTGGCAGATTGGTACCATGTTTATTGCGAAGAAGGGCCATGAGTTGATGGTATTCCTCGGTTGTGAACGTTGGTTGTGATAGGAGCATATTCATGCGACTTAATTAGCTTGTTCTCGTGCATTTACGTTGTGTTTACTTAGTTGTTTTAGTGTTTAAGGCCACTTTTGTGTATTTTCAGATTATAAGGCCAAAGTGTGCAAGAAGATGCAAATTGGAGCCTTTTGGAGCGAAAGAGGAATGAATGAGTTGAAGACTTGAAGAAACGACGAATTCCTACTCCAACGATTAATTCTTACCAAAACGAGGAATCCTACTCAAACAAGGCTTCCTATTTTAGGAAAGTTGACCCTAAGTTTCCCGTTTTGGTAACCTTTCCTAATCTTAAACGTCCGCATTTTCTAGCCACTCTGAAGTCCTTGTAGGCGCTTTAGGACGCAAAACGAAGGCCCTAGGGCCCTTAACACCCAATGCCGTGGGCTTTAGCCCAAGTCCTTTCCCTTGCCGTGCAAGGGGGGGC